TTCTCCAAAGTTGTTGTGAGTGATTGTAGTTCTGTGAGGTTCAAGTGTGTTGATTGGTGGATGTCCTGGTCCATCTGTTGGAGTGAAGAGAGTTGTTCTAAGCGTTGTGTGGTGTCGTATCCAATGTTCACCTTGTCTTTCCCAGTAGTCTTGGTTGTCCTCCTGTGCTGTGAGTGGTCTGTGTATTGTCTCCTTTGGTTGTGTGGTGTCAAGATTTGTAGAAGGTGCTGCTTTGGGTCTCCATATCTTTTGTGGTGCTCGTAGTTGGATCTTTGATCTGGTTGGTGGTGTGTCCATTAGCCGTTGTGGTTGTGAGCTCTGCCTTGTTGGTGTGGTCTTTGATGTTGCTCTGCGTGTAGGTGTTATCTTTCTTCTGAATCTGGTTTCTCCAGTCCAGTTGTCACCTTCTAGTCTTCGTTGTAGTTCTTGCTTGGAAAGTTGTGTTGGGTTCTCTTGTAGTTGTTCTTGCTCTTGCCCTTGTCTGTTGATGATGGTTAGTCGCCAATCATCTAGTTCTCCTTCTGGTATTGGGCAGCCACTGTTGTGTGGTGTGAACAGTGCTTTGCGTGGTCGTTTGTGTACTCTGATGGCGTAGTCACCATCAAGTTTCCAGTAGTCAGTGTTTCCACCAAGGATCTGTCGTAGTCCTTGGTCTGTGTGTGTGAGTGGTGCGATTTGTTCTTGTTGTTGTGCTGCTCTCTCTGTAGGTTGAATCACAGCAATGGATTTTCCATTGTCTGTAGTCATTGGGTAGATGTCGAATCCTGTAGGAATGTCGATCTTCTCTGCTCGTAGGTAGAAAAGTCCTGAGTGTCTTATGAGGTGTGCTTGTTGTTGTCCATGTGTGATGGTGCAGTGTCGTGGAGTGAAGTCAAGTCCATATCCTCTATCAAGTAGTCTTGATGCACTGAGGATTGGATACTTCACATCACAAACGTAGTAGGGTATCATGATCCTGAAGTTGTCCTGCTTGTAGGGAACGTACTTGATGCCGTAGACTGGAATCTTCTTGTTGGTAACCGTGTAGAGTTGTGGAACTGATTCTCCACAAGGTCGTAGTGGAAGATCCGGTGCGTAGTCCTTTGGGCAAACATGTGTAGATGCTCCTGAGTCGATCAACAGGTGGTGGTATGACTTGAAGTTGGAGTACATGATGTAGTGGGTGATAGTGTCCTCAATCTTCTTGTTCCTTTGTTGTTGTCTTGCTGCTGCTATGTCGAAGTGTAGCTTTGTGGTGTCTTCTTGTAGGAATTGTTGAAAGCTCTTGCTGTGGTCGTTCCATGATGTTGTGTGTGTTGTTCTCTTGCCAAGTAGTGATTTGGATTTGTGCTTGTGTAGTCGTGATTTTGCTTGTCTGATGTGTCCAATGGTGAGGTGTGACTCGTTGATGCCTCCAATGTAGTTCGCTGTGTCCTCATAGCTGTTGTCATTCCAATCCCAGCTGTTGTCATAGTCGTAGTCGTTCCAGTTCTCCTCCATGTAGTTCACCTCGTGTTGTCCTTCTTCTCCTTCGTAGTACCAGTCCCAAGTGTCGTTCACATCCTGAGGTAGTTCATCATTGTTGTCGTGATCTGCTTGTTCTTGTTCTAGTGGATGTAGTTCTTCTCCTTCTCCTATGTGCCATACCGGCACTCTGCAGTCTTGTGCCCAGTGGCCGGGCTTGCCACATCGATGGCATGTTGTGTAGTTGTTGTTTCCTTTTCCTTTCGATTCGCTGTAGTTTCCTTGGCCTTTGTAGCCTTTCCTTGATCCATATCCTTTGGATCCTGAGTAGCCTTTTCCTTTGCTCTTGTTGTATCCTCCTTTGTTGTAGTTTCCTTTGCTGCCTTTGTCGAATCCTTTGTAGTGTCCTTTACTCCTGTACTTGCCTTTGCTCTTGCTTCCTTTGTGGCCGCCTTTTCCTTTTCCTTTGCCTCTGTAGCTTCTTCCTTTCCTCCATATGTTGTCAACATCCATTGGTGCAGTTCCTCCATTGTAGTTTGTTCCTACTGCTGAAGTAGATCTAGTGAAGGCTGAAATCGTTTTGTAGTAGTCCAGGATGAGTGCTCTGATCTCGATGTAGTTCGTGATCTGTCCAGCTCGCAGTTGGAGGTGTTGCTGCAGTGCTCCTTTGGTTTTGTTGAGTAGTATTGCTATTTTGATTCCATCTGGTAGTGCTGTTCCATTGTCTTTCTCGTAGCGGTTGATGTCGTATTCCCATTGTAGAAATTGTTCTTCAAACTGCGCTTCGTTGAATGTAGGTTCCAGTAGTTTGGTAAGGCAACCAACGCTCCTTGTTCCTACTGGTAGGCTGAACCTGTTGTGTAGTAGTCGTAGTGTTTCACATCCGTTTGCGTTGTAGCGGTTTTGCCTTACTACTGTAGCTGCTGCTCCCTGACAGATGTTGATGAGGATGTAGTGTAGATCTCTGGAGAGGTCTACTGCTTTGCTTGCTTGTGTAGGGTCGAGTATGTGTGTTCTGATGTCTGTGTCCTCAATCTGTCGTGTAGCCACTTGTGCTAGTTGTAGCACCAGGTCGAAGTCTCGGTCTATGAGGCCGAGGTATGCTTGTAGCTTGAACAGCCATTCTTCATACTGGGAGTAGTCACCAGTGAAGAAGGGTGGTGGCAGTTTGTATCTATGTAGTCTCTGAACGTCGTTGTCTTGTTCTGTTCCTGCTCCCGTAGTCGTGGCTCCTACTGTGTCTGCTGTTGGCCCGTTCTCTGCTCCTGTAGTTTGTTGTGCTGAGGCTGATGCTGCTTCTCCTGACATGTCGTAGTAGTTTGGCATGTAGCTGCTGTTGCTGTGGTTGTAGTACTTACTGCTTACTGGAGCTCCCCTATGTTTAGGATCTCAGCTCCGCTACCACGTTAAAATCAGTTGTTACTTTGCTTACAAGTGCAAGTGCTGTAGTGTTCAAACAAACAGTCAACCAATGTAGTCTGCAGCTGCCAACCTTTTGACTCATGCGGAGTAGTAAGCTCAAGGCCTGCGGTAGTGAACATACATGCAACAAGAGTGCAAAGTGAAGCATGTAGTTTGACATCTCTCTCTCTCCTTTTTTCCTGTTTATCTTGCTATTTATCTTTCTTGTTCTCTTTCTCTTTCCCCTCATCTCTGTTTTCTTTATCTGTCTCTTCTATTTCTCTTCTTTCTGCGTCTCTTGTTCTTGCTCTTTTCTCTTGTTCTTCTCTTTGCTTCCCTTTTTTTTCTTTCTCTTTTTTCTCTATCGCTTTCGGTTCTCCTCTCTGTCCTTTTCCCAATGTCTGTCTCTTTATCTTTCCTACCTACCTATCTAGCTAGTTATCGGTCTGTCAATCTATCTTGCGATCGATCTACATCTCTCAACCTATCTATCATTTCTCTATCTCTTAACTTTAACCTATCTCTCTCTCTCTCTCTCTGTCTCTCTCCTCTCCACCTCTCTACCTCTGTATCTCTCTATCTTGCTACTTCGCTATCTCCCCACCTCTTTCTCCATCTCTCTGCTTCTCTAACCTTCTATCCATCTGTGTATTGGTCTATCTAGCAATCTGTCAGTCCGTCTAGCTTACTACCTGCCTGTCTACCTAGTTACTAATCATGCACCCATCAATCCATCCATCTATCCATCTAGCTCTTTCCCTATCCATCCACCTGCCGATCTGTCCACCCGTCTCTCTATACATCTACCTACATATCTATATGCCTAGCAAGCTCATCTCTTTGTCTATCAACCCATCCTTTCTACCTGTCTATCTATGTAGCTACCGATCGATCTATTCTAACCTATCTGTCGTTCTTTGCTATCTTTCTATCTGATGACTCTCACTATCTAGCTATCTAGCTATGCATCTGTCTAACTACTATCTTCCAGGATATGTACCTGACTATGTCTCCGTCAATCAATGTATCTATCTTCTGAAAGTGCCGCCCCTACCACGCAACGTGTACCCGGCCTTGTGAGCGTGCTGCGCCTGCCCCCAAATCCGTACCTGGCGCTGCGCCTGCCACGAAATCTGCACCTGACCTTGCGGAATGATGTCACCAAATCGGGACGAAAGCGTTGCGCCTGCCGCCTGACCTTGGCAAAGCGCCGAGCCTGCCACAATATCTGCACGTGCCAGTTCACACTTGGGTGCGAATGGGATTTGCGACATGTCCGCGCCGGCATTGCCAAAATGCTGCGCCTGTCACACAATGAGCGCCTGAGTCTGCAAATGCCACGAAATCTGCACTTCACAATCTGACCGCCAATCCATCAGCCCGCCGGAAACACCAAAGTCCGCAGAAGGCCACTTTTTCCCGAAACTGTTCTTGTTTATTGCTGGCATCTCCGCGCAGCACTCCCTTTAGTGTCCGTGACACGGAAGTTCCTTCTAGGCTTCTGCTGGTGAGAGTGCATGGCTTCATCCACACTTGATGATCAGTCTTGTTTGCTCACGCTAAAATGGGCGCACTCCCAAACATAAACCTGCAAGAAGCGGGTTGGGCTCGCGGTGATTCTGCCATGTAGCCGAAAAAGGAAACCGTTTCTGGTCGGTCATGCTAAACCTGGCAAGACGCAACCAAGGACCTATCAAGTCGAAGCCACGGAGCAACTGGGACCCAAACATCTTCAGCTTTCACCTCGAAATGTTTATGTGCATGTGGGTGCCGAGCGCCTTGGACAGAGCGCAGGGGCTAAGGAAGGAAGTGGCACCAGGTTAAACTACGTCAAGGGAAAAACATATATTTGTGTATCTATGTATTTATCTATTTGTTGTGTGTACACATGTATATTTACGTATATGTGCACATACACGTTCTAGAGTTGGCTTCACTGTCCGTCCTCTGCAAGATCGCGCCATGTGTCGTATTATCATGTCGTATCTACCCAAAACTTACTCTCTCAGTTGAAAGGTTGGCGAAATTCGTATCTGCCTACCAGACTGGCAGAAGGTGCTGAAATGTCACCACAGCGTGTCAGTTATTAGAGCGCAAATCAAATAAAGATGTTGGCTTGGAATTCATAGCTTTGATTCCCTTTGCTGCCGGGTCGCAAGTCCAACTCCCCGCAGGATTTCGCACGAAGGGCCTGCAGCCCCGCGCAGCGGCGAATGCCGTCTTTGCCTTGGAGTTGTGCTTGGATCTCTGGCAACCCGTGCAACGGGCCCAATGAAAGCAGACGTGCAAAACAAGGTCCATGGTCAACTTCAAGGAGAAACCTGGGTTCCAACGTGGAAGAACACTAATCCTACTGGATGTTTAGCGTCCCTTTTGCCTTCAATTCAAAAGCCCCACCAGGGATTCCCCAAAACGAACCTACACCAGCGTGTGCCCAAACCAGAAAGCAATCAAAATGAGTAGCTTCTGTTGGGCACTTGCAGATCTATATAAACATATTAAGCAGGCATACACATCAATACATCCCCTGCAGATTGAGAGGCCTGTGCCGAGAAATATTCTTCTGAAGGAGCCAGTTTTAGAGTCCATGTCTCCAAGGTGAAAGAAAGCGTTGTGAAAGAAAGCGTTGCCACCTTCCACGGGGCGCGGCTATGTTGTCGAAGGACAGTCATGAATCCAATTATATTCTGCGTTCTTCACAGGAGTTGGAAGCAGGAGTGTAGGGTCCACTACCCATGGGCAAACGGGAGAGAAAAACGCGGGTTGCCTACCATTCTTAGCCACCTGGTTTCCTAGCGCCTTTTGATCTTGGTCACGTCCAGTTGGGCACCGACTGACTGGAACTCAAAGAAGCTGAGAAAGGGGGTCCGGTCGTTCAAGGGGAGCCGCTTCATAAAGGTTCCCTACAAAGGGAGCCTGAAAGGGCCCCAAGTTGTTTGAGATGCAGCCCGGCACAAGGTCCGCAGTAACCGTTGCCCAAGCTGAGGTGAGGGGTCTTCATCACAACCCGAGCTGTGCAAAAGTATGATGGACAATTGACTGAACGGCAGAGTCTGTGCCTAGGTGTTCTTCTGGACAATTAGATGGCTTTGGCAAATGATGAGAAGCAAACTGAAAGCGGTGAAACCGACCTGTCTTCAATCGAGCAGGACCTGCGCAGAGGGACCCTAATCCATCTGATTTTACCCGCGACGGACGACACTCTCAGCAGCTGGCTTGGACTGGCAACTTGAAGGTCGGCAAGAGCCTTCAAATGCAAACCACTCCAATCCGAGGCTCTGATGTTGGCCCCCTCCAGCGTGAGGTAGGTGATGCCCAGCCGCACAAAGCACAGCAGCACGGCATCGTCCACCTGACACGTGAGACCTGGCGCAAGGGAGGCCCCAAGCCAAGCGGACCAAACATTGCAGGGAAAAATCTAAAACAAGCGCAAAGCGGACAACAGAACGCACGAACCGCGCCAAAGGCCTGACATGCGCACGGGTTCAAAGGACACAAACACACGAACAAACACTCACACGAACACACGAACACACACACACATACCTCAGCCAAAGCATGGAAAATCGACATGTCAAAATGAGTCATAATGACCGAGCATGTGCCAAAGGGTCCGCCAAATGGACTGGCTAGTCGTGCTTTGGGCGGTGCTTGTGCAATTACAGATGGCTCGTCTATTTACCAGTAGAGCCGGCGAAGCCGGTCGGCGGAAGTTTCAAAAATATACAAACTATAGTTATCTTTCTCTTTCTTTTCTTGACTCTTTTTCTCTTCTTCTTCCTTTTCATTGTTTCTTTTTTCTCCATCATTCTTCCTTTCTTCTTTTCTTTCCTTCCTTCCTCCCTTCTTTCCTTCTTTCTATCTTTGTTTTTCTTTCTTTCTTTCGTCTGCTTGTTTTTGTGCTGTTCTTTCTTTTGTCTCTTCTCTGTCTATCTATCTGTCTATCTCTCTATCTATCTATCTGTCTATCTGTCTAACTATCTCTATCTATCTATTTCTATCTATCTATCTCTCTATCTATCTATATATCTACCTATCTCTCTATCTTTGTATCTATCCATCTATCTATCTATCTATCCATCTGTCTATCTATCTATTTCTGTATCTATCTACCTATTTATCTATCTATCTCCCATTCCATCTATTTATCTATCTATCTATCTCTCTCTATCTATCTATCTGTGTATCTCTCTACCTATCTCTCTCTCTCTATCTATCTACCTAGCTATCTACCGACTTTCTATCTATCAATCTATCCATCTACCCGCCGCATTTTTTTATCTATCTATCTATCTACCTACATCTCTCTCTCCATCTGTCTCCCGCGTGTCTATCTATCTATCTATATCTCTCTCTTTTTCTATCTATCGATCTATCTCTATCTATCTATCTATCTATCTCTCTATCTATCTATACATCTACCTATCTCTATCTTTGTATCTATCAATGTATCTATCTACCTATCTATCTATCCACCTGTCTATCTATCTATCTATCTATCTATTTCTCTGCCTATCTACCTATCAATCTATCAATCTCTCTATCTCTCTTTCTATCTATTTATCTATCTATCTCTCTGTCTCTCTCTCTCTATCTATCTATCTATCTATCTATCTATCTATCTATCTATGTGTCTCTCTATCTATCTCTCCCTCTATCTATCTATCTCTCTATCTGTCTATCGATCTATCTATCTATCCATCTATCTATCTATCTATCTCTCTCTCTAACTATCTACTTTCTATCTATCTATCTATCTCTCTATATATCTATCTATCTATCTATCTATCTATCTATCTATCTATGTATCTCTCTATGTATCTCTCTCTCTCTATCTATCTGTCTATCTATTTATTTATGTATCTATCTCTCTATTTTCTTTCGCACTTAAAAGTTGCGATTTTCGTCCCAGCTGCGGAAGTGGACTTCACGTACTACTTGCGTATTCAAAAAATTGCGATTTTGGAGCCCCAGCTGCAAAGTTGACTTCGCGTACTACTTTCGTACTTAAAAGTTGCAATTCTTGAGCCCCAGCTGCGGAAGTGGACTTCACGTACTACTAGGTGGTTGCCCTAAGTCGTGGCGGCGACCAAAAGTCGTGGCGGGCTGCGTGCCGCCAATGTATTGCATCATTTTGTGAAGTCAGGTTTGGTTTCATGTTTTCATCATAGTGTGATTTCACTGCGTGCCCGCCTGCTTTTCGAACTTTTCAGTGTCGTTTTGGGTCGAGGCCTGTTATGACCATTTTGTTGGTGTGCCCTTGTGTTTGCGCTCAATCCTTGTTGCGTGTTTGTTTTGGGGGCGTTGTCCTGAGCGGGCGTCCCCATGCAGTTTGTTACGAAATGCATGCTCCTGCGCTTGTGGATAGAGGCATGTTCTGACCATTTGGTTGGTGTTCCTATCGCTGCTGTGCTCCATGGGATTTTGAGGGGAATATGTTTGCAATTGGCGTGCTACTCCTCCACGCATTCCATACTGTCATTTGAAGGTGGGGGTGGGTGTTGGGGGTGCTGCACATTGCACACGAAAGCCAACCTGTCCCCAGCATTGCCCTTTTGGAGTTCCTAATGAACGGGTTCTGGCAATTTTGACTGACCACTTCGACTCGTTTGTAAAGGCTCGCCTTCGTTTTTTTGTGAGTTTTTACCCTACATACATATCCCCTATACGAACCCTTTTAGTGGCAGCTCGTCTCACAAATGACTGGGGGCCGGAAGTGCTGCAGGCGCCAAACTCATGGGGACACCCGATCACAGCACGGATGGGCACAAACACAACGGGACACCAACAAAATTATCATAGCACGCCTACCCGCAAGCGCTGGAACCTGCGTTTCGTAACAAACTGCATGTGAAAACTCGATCACAGGGTTTTGGCGGCGGCTCACAGCCATGGCGACCCCGTCAAAGCGGGCGAAGCTTGAGGAGCCCTTGTCGTCGGAGAAGGCAAGGGGCACGATGACAAGCTGCGCCATCGCAGCCGATTTAGGGGGTGGCGGTGGTGGTGGTGGTGGTGGTGGCGTGAACTGCTCTTTTGTTGTTCGTTGGTTGTTGCGTAGCTTCGTGTTTTTGTTGGGTCGGGTCTCGTTGTGTTTTTGTGCTGGCTGGTTTGTGTGGCTGCTGCGCCCCCCGTTTGTGTCTGTTGTTGTTGTTGTTGTTGTTGTTGTTGTTGTTGTTGTTGTTGCTGTTGCTGTTGCTGTTGCTGTTGCTGTTGCTGTTGCTGTTGCTGTTGCTGTTGCTGTTGCTGTTGTGTTGTTGTTGTTGTTGTTGTTGTTGTTGTTGTTGTTGTTGTTGTTGTTGTTGTTGTTGTTGCTGTTGTTGTTGCTGTTGCTGTTGCTGTTGCTGTTGCTGTTGCTGTTGCTGTTGCTGTTGCTGTTGTTGTTGCTTTGTTGTTGCTCGTGTTTCTCGGGGTTCGGGGTGGGTTGTTGTTGTTGTTGATTTTTTTTTCTGCCGTTGGTTTCCCGATCGTTTCGCGCGCCTGGCTAGGTCCTACAGCCTGGAGGACAACACCAAGCAGACAATCTTGCTTCTTGGCTGGGCGTCGTTGGGTCGGGTCTCGTTGCGTCTTTGCGTTGGCTGGGTTGTGTGGCTGCTGCGCCTCCCGTTTGTGCCTGTTGTGTTGTTTTGTTGTTGCTCGTGTTTCTCGGGGTGTTATTTTTTTGTTTTTCTGTCGTTGGTTTCCCGATTGTTTCGGGCGCCTGGCTAGGTCCTACAGCCTGAAGGACCACGACAAGCAGACGATCCGGCGCCTTGGCTGGGTGGCTTGGCTGGGGCCTCGCGGCGACGTCGTTGTCGCTGTCGTCGGTCTCGTTGTTGTTTCCGTCGTCGTGATTGTCGTCTCTGTCGCTGCTGGTGCTGTTGTTGTTGTTGTTGTTGTTGTTGTTGTTGTTGTTGTTGTTGTTGTTGTTGTTGTTGTTGTTGTTGTTGTTGTTGTTGTTGTTGTTGTTGTTGTTGTTGTTGTTGTTGTTGTGTCGTTGTCGTTGTCGTTGTCGTTGTCGTTGTCGTTGTCGTTGTTGTTGTTGTTGTTGTTGTTGTTGTTGTTGTTGTTGTTGTTGTTGTTGTTGTTGCTGTTGCTGTTGCTGTTGCTGCTGCTGCTGCTGCTGCTGCTGCTGCTGCTGCTGCTGCTGCTGCTGTTGTTGCTTGTTTCGGTTTCGGGCGGTGGTGGTGGTGGTGGTGGTTGGTGGTTGGTGGCTGGTGGTGTTTCTGCGCCCCAACATCCAAGGACATGACGTTGCACGAGTACACGGCCACCCTCAGACGGCAGCACCCCGAGATCATCCGCAAGCTGGACCGCATGAAGGGCAAGCAGCCAAAAGGGCCACCTCTCTTAGGCTCCGTGCCAGCCACTAGCGTGCGCTGTACTTTCTGCAATGGCGCAAAGCACCAGCGGAAATGGATGTATAAGCGTGGCAAGCGGGGTGTTGTAGTTCCAACCGGCTCATCATGCTTTGCGTGCGCCAAAGCTGCTGAGATGTTGGGCCCGACTAGATCGGCTGAGCTGATCGAAGAAGCTGGTGCAAAGGGCTTGGTTTTGCTGCTCTCTGCGCGCAAGAGGCGGAAGATGGGCACGGAAGATGTGTGTTGCTGTTCGTCTTGCAAAGCAAGCGATGTGGACTAGGGCTTTTTCGTGCCCTGTGTTTAGGGGACTAGGGGCCATTCAGCACGTCCGGGGTAGGAATCCTTGGTTTGCACAAAGAAGGGCTTGCACAGGACAGGCGCATGCCACAGACATGCGTCAAAGCTACCAGTACCTAACCCGGGGGCCTGATGGCGAGAATACTTTTAGAGGGGCGCCTGCCACAGAGATTCTGCCAGGCCAAGGGGTGAAAAAGCGGATGGCCTCTTCATTTCATGTTCGCGCTGCATTGCTCACACACTGTTTGGTGCGGGCTTTTGGGGCTGTCGCACGCGTGCCTGAAGCAGGCCTGCGTTCACAATCAGACATGCTTGCTTCCTTTTCAGCGTTGGAGTTGTGCCAAACATTTGCTTCGAGCGGCTAGTTTTGGTTCCGATGCCAGCCCAGAAGCTCAGTGCTTCACAGATAGTTCGCCTCAATCAGGTGGAGCTCCATGTGGCGCTCGCGGATCATGGGATTCCAGCGGGCACAGAAGATCTTGAACTGGAGCTGCGGGCGCGGCTGGCAAGGAAAGTCTTGGGCAGCTCTGTGAAGCTCAGCGCAAGCGCCTCGACCTTTTCTTGTCAGGTGTCATTATTTTACTGTTTCTGGGGGTTACCAAAGTGAGAAACCAGGGTGCTTTCCCCTCAACCTACCACTTGGGGTGACTAGTGGGGCCAGTGATACTTGGGGTGCTTTTCCCTTACCACTGGGTGATACTGGTAGAATAATGGGGCCAGCTTGTGTGTAGC